TTATCCTTCAGTTAATATGATGTATTACATTGATTGATTTGCATATATTGAAGAATCCTTGCATTCCTTGAATAAACCCCACTTGATCATGGTGTATGATGCTTTTAATGTGCTGTTGGATTTTGTTTGCTAGTATTTTGTTGAGGATTTTTGCATCTATGTTCATCAGTGATATTGGCCTGTAGTTTTCTTTCTTTGTCATATCTTTGTCTGGTTTTGGTACCAGGGTGATAGTGGCCTCATAGAATGAGTTTGGGAGTGTTCCTCCCTCTGCTAGATTTTGGAAGAGTTTGAGAAGGACATCTCTAAATGTTTGAAAGAATTCACCTGTGAAGCCATCTGGTCCTGGGCTTTTGTTTGTTAGAAGATTTTTAATCACAGTTTCAATTTCAGTGCTTGTGATTGGTCTGTTTACATTTTCTGTTTCTTCCTGGTTCAGTTTCAGAAAGTTGTGCTTTTCTAAGAATGTGTCCATTTCTTCCAGGCTGTCCATTTTATTGGCATATAGTTGCTTATAGTAATCTCTCATGATCCTTTGTATTTCTGCAGGGTCAGTTGTTACTTCTCCTTTTTCATTTCTAATTCTATTGATTTGAGTCTTCTCACTTTTTTTCTTGATGAGTCTGGCTAATAGTTTATCAATTTTATGTTCTCAAAGAACCAGCTTTTAGTTTTATTGATCTTTGCTATTGTTTCCTTCATTTCTTTTTCATTTATTTCTGATCTGATCTTTATGATTTCTTTCCTTCTGCTAAATTTGGGGGTTTTTTGTTCTTCTTTCTCTAATTGCTTTAGGTGTAAGGTTAGGTTGTTTATTTAAGATGATTCTTGTTTCTTGAGGTAGGACTGTATTGCTGTAAAGTTCCCTCTTAGAACTGCTTTTGCTGCATCCCTTAGGTTTTGGGTCATCGTGTTTTCATTGTCATTTCTTTGTAGGTATTTTTTTATTTCCTCTTTGATTTATTCAGTGATCTCTTGGTTATTAAGTAGTGTATTGTTTAGCCTCCATGTATTTGTAGTTTTTACAGATTTTTTTCTATAATTGATATCTAGTCTCACGGTGTTGTGGTCGAAAAAGATACTTGATACAATTTCCATTTTCTTAAATTTACCGAGGCTTGATTTGTGACCCAAGATATGATCTATCCTGAAGAATGTTCCATGAACACTTGAGAAGAAAGTGTATTCTGTTTTTGGATGCAATGTCCTATAAATACCAATTTAGTCCATCTTGTTTAATGTGTCATTTAAAGCTCGTGTTTCCTTATTTATTTTCATTTTGGATGATCTGTCCATTGGTGAAAGTGGGGTGTTAAAGTCCCCTACTATGATTGTGTTACTGTTGATTTCCCCTTTTATGGCTGTTAGCATTTGCCTTATGTATTGAGGTGCTCCTATGTTGGATTTCTAAATATTTACAATTGTTATATCTTCTTCTTGGATTGATCCCTTGATCATTATGTAGTGTCCTTCTCTGCGTCTTGTAATAGTCTTTATTTTAAAGTCTATTTTGTGTGATACGAGAATTGCTACTCCAGCTTTCTTTTGATTTCCATTTGCATGGAATATCTTTTTCCATCCCGTGACTTTCAGTCTGTATGTGTCCGTAGGTCTGAAGTGGGTCTCTTGTAGACAGCATATATATGGGTCTTGTTTTTGTATCCATTCAGCCAGTCTGTGTCTTTTGATTGCAGCATTTAATCCATTTACATTTAAGGTAATTATTGATATGTATGTTCCTATTCCCATTTTCCTCATTGTTTTGGGTTTGTTATTGTAGGTCTTTTTCTTCTTTTGTGTTTCCTGCCCAGGGAAGTTCCTTTAGCATTTGTTGTAAAGCTGGTTTGGTGGTGCTGAATTCTCTTAGCTCTTGCTTGTCTGTAAAGGTTTTAATTTCTCCATCGAATCTGAATGAGATCCTTGCCAGGTAGAGTAATCTTGGTTGTAGGTTCTCCCCTTTCATCACTTTAAATATGTCCTGCCACTCCCTTCTGTTTTGTAGACTTTCTGCTGAAAGATCAGCTGTTAACCTTATGAGGATTCCCTTATATGTTATTTGTTGCTTTTTCCTTGCTGCTTTTAATATTTTTTCTTTGTATTTATTTTTTGATTGTTTGATTAATGTGTCTTGGTTTGCTTCTCCGTGGATTTATCCTGTATGGGACTGTCTGTGCTTCCTGGACTTGATTAACTAGGGAAGTTTGCAACTATAATCTCTTCAAATATTTTCTCAGTCCCTTTCTTTTTCTCTTCTTCCTCTGGGACCCCTATAATTCGAATATTGGTGCATTTAATGTTGTCCCAGAGGTCTCTGGGACTGTCCTCAATTCTTTTCATTCTTTTTTCTTTAATCTGCTCTGCAGTAGTTATTTCCATTATTTTATCTTCCATGTCACTTATCCATTCTTCTGCCTCCATTCTTCTGCCTCAGTTATTCTGCTATTGATTCCTTCTAGAGAATTTTAAATTTCATTCATTGTGTTGTTCATCATTGTTTGTTTGCTCTTTAGTTCTGCCAGGTCCTTGTTAAACGTTTCTTGTATTTTTTCCATTCTCTTTCCAAGATTTTGGATCATCTTTACTGTCTTTACCCTGAATTCTTTTTCAGGTAGACTGCCTATTTCCTCTTCATTTGTTTGGTGATGGGTTTTTACATTGCTCCTTCATCTGCTGTGTGTTTCTCTGTCTTCTCATTTTGCTTAACTTACTGTGTTTGGGGTCTCTTTTTCACAGGCTACATGTTCGTAGTTCCCGTTGTTTTTGGTGTCTGCCCCCAGTGGCTATGGTTGGTTCAGTGGGTTGTGTAGGCTTCCTAGTGGAGGGGACTGGTGCCTGCGCTCTGGAGGATAAGGCTGGATCTTGTCTTTCTGGTGGGTAGGACCACGTCAGGTGGTGTGTCTGGGGTGTCTGTGACCTTATTATGATTTTGGGCATCCTCTCTGCTAATGGGCGGGGTTGTGTTATTGTCTTGCTAGTTGTTTGGCATAGGGTGTCCAGTACTGTAGCTTGCTGGTTGTTGAGTGGAGCTGGGTCTTCGTGTTGAGATGGATATCTCTGGGAGAACTTTCGCCATTTGGTATTACGTGGAGCCGGAAGGTCTCTGGTGGACCAATGTCCTGAACTCAGCCCTCCTACCTCAGAGGCACAAGCCTGACACCCGGCTGGAGCACCAAGACCCTGTCAGCCACACGGCTCAGAAGAAAAGGGAGAAAAAAGGAAAGAAAAAAATAAAATAAAGTTATTAAAATAAAAAATAATTATTAATAATTTTAAAAAGAGAGCAACCAACCCAAAAAACAAATCCACCAATTATAACAAGTGCTAAAAACTATCTCAAAAAAGAAAAGAAACAGAAACTGGACAGACAGAACCCTAGGGCAAATGTTAAAAGCAAAGCTATACAGACAAAATCACACAAAGAAGCATACACACTCACAAAAAGAGAAAATAGAAAAAAAAAAAATATATCATTGCCTCCAAAGTCCGCCACCTCAATTTGGGATGAATCATTGTTTATTCAGGTATTCCAGAGATGCAGGTTACATCAAGTTGATTGTGGAGGTTTAATCCGCTGCTCCTGAGGCTGCTGGGAGAGATTTCCCTTTCTCTTCTTTGTTGCACAGCTCCCGAGGTTCAGCTTTGGATTTGGACTTGCCTCTGCGTGTAGGTCACGTGAGGGCATCTGCTCCCGCTCAGACAGGGCGATGTTAAAGGAGCAACCGATTCGGGGGCTGTGGCTCACTCAGTCCGGAGGGAGGGAGGAGTACGGATGCAGGGCGAGCCTGCGGCGGCAGAGTGGGGTGCGCCGTGTGTTCTCCCGGGGAAGTTGTCCCTGGATCACGGGACCCTGGCAGTGGCGGGCTGCACAGGCTCCCGGGAGGGGAGGTGTGGAGAGTGACCTGTGCTCGCACACAGGCTTCTTGGTGGCGGCAGCAGCAGCCGTAGCGTTTCATGCAAGTCTCTGGAGCTCGTTTAGGCAGTGCTCTGAATTCTCTCTCCTCACACACCCGAAACAATGGTCTCTTGCCTCTTCAGCAGCTCCAGACCTTTTCCCGGACTCCCTCCAGGCTAGCCGTGGTGCACTAGCCCCTTCAGGCTGTGTTCACGCAGCCAACCCCAGTCCTCTCCCTGCGATCTGCCTGAAGCCCGAGCCTCAGCTCCCAGCCCCGCCCGCCCCGGTGGGTGAGCAGACAAGCCTCTCGGGCTGGTGAGTGCCGGTCGGCACCGATCCTCTGTGCGGGAATCTCTCTGCTTTGCCCTCCGCACCCCTGTTGCTGCGCTCTCCTCCACGGCCCCGAAGCTTCCCTCCCCCCACCCCCCGCCACCCCCTGTCTCCGCCCACGAAGGGGCTTCCTAGTGTGTGGAGACTTTTCCTCCTTCACAACTCCCTCCTAGAAGTGCAGGTCCCGTCCCTATTGTTTTGTCCCTGTTTTTTCTTTTTTCTTTTGCGCTACCCAGGTACGTGGGGAGTTTCTTGCCTTTTGGGAGGTCTGAGGTCTTCTGCTAGTGTTCAGTAGGTGTTCCGTAGGAGTTGTTCCACATGTAGATGTATTTCTGATGTATCTGTTGGGAGGAAGGTGATCTCTGCGTCTAACTCCTCCGCCATCTTGGTCTCCCCCAAGGCTGGCATTTTTGAAGCATTGACTGTTAGCAGCTCAGGGGAGAGTGAGCTGGGCCACAAGGAGGCCTCGGTCATTTCTTTCCTGGTTGTGATGGAAGGGGATGGGACAGGTGGGGGACCCTGGAGAAGAAGGTTAAATTGTGGGCTCATGGTGCCTTTTCCACACTGTGTGTGTGTGTGTGTGTGTGTGTGTGTGTGTGTTGTGTGTGTGTTTTGCATATTCCTATTTTTATTCATTTCACTCATCTGGAATAATTAAGTTGTGCTTCCAACTGGTATAGTTTTAAAATGTTCTGATATAATGTATGCTGTTTTTAATGACTTTGTCTAAGTTTTGTTTTATTGACTTACCTTATTCTTTATTCATTTTACCCCCCAGATTTGTCTTGTGTGAGCTGTATGCCTTATCTTCTAGAACTTAATGCTTCTCAGAATAAACTGACGACATTTTTCAATTTCAAGCCACCCAAAAATCTCAAGGTAGATTTTATTAATACACTAATTACATGTGTTAACTGGTTTGTGAAATACATTAACGAGCAAAAAAGCACTAAAAGAGAATTCAGAGAGAATAAGACAGAGGAGAAATGAAATAAAAAAGGAGAAGGATTTGTGTATCATTTACTTTAGAAAAGGGAGATAGTCTTTCAAGAGATTATCTTTTTCGGAAGCTTTGCTAAAACCTAGTGTCCAAACCAATGAACTAACTTCTTTCTCTTTTCTCTGCTTCATTTAAATACTAGTTATTGTTTGTGTATTTTTATTATAGCAGAACAATTTTATACCTGAAAATTCTGTAAAAATTTCCTGGGGGCTTAAATTTTGCCTTCTTTATTCATCCAACCTTTACTTTTGTTTAGAAAGCAGTGATTTCAGATCTTCATTCTTGCTTCTCTGCACTTGCTTTTGCATTTCTGAGGCAGAATGAAACTCTGTGAATGGTGGTTGATGGAGCAGCTCACTCTGCTGTGGAGCACAGTGGCTCATACTTTAACGTGTGTGTAGGTCATGTGGCGTTCTTGTGAAAATGAGGTTCTGATCCAGTAGGTCTGAGGTGGGCCTGAGGCCCTGCTTTCTAACAGCCTTCCTAATGAGCCATTGCTGCTGGTCCATGGACCACACGTAAGCAGAGAGGTCATAGATAAATGGTACTCCGATTTTCTGCACACTGGAATCACCTGGAGAGTTTTAAAGACTACTGATGCCTGGATTCTACTGCCAGATATTCTGGTTCATGTGGTCCAAGGTAAGGCCTGGGTGTGGGAATTTCTAAAAGACCCCGCTCAGGTGGCTCTAATGTGCTGACAAATTTGGGAACCATTGCCGCAGCTTGGGACGAGTATTTTTCTATTGGACTCAAATATTTCATTAAAAAGTTGTTTTAAGGAGTGGACATCAATGATTGCCTTTTATTACCTATTAGTTTTATTTTGTTTACAAGCCAAATTAATGTAGATCCAACGTATTCTGCTGGATCTTGCACAAATATAAGTCTGTTTGATATTAAGAATCTGACATCCTCCATACTGTCAGTGAGACGCCTTTCTTAATTTTTCTTCTTTTATTTCACTTGCTACATTTTTATGAGTAGTGAGTTTTTTCCCTTTGAAATTACAGTTATTGCTGTGGTGACATTTGTTTATCCAGAAAAGCCGCACAAGGTGCCTATTTGTCCTCAGTATGGGGCCTTGTGGTCTCCAGGTCATCAGGAATTGTTCTTGCAGAGCTGTCTTGATTCTCCCTCCTTTGCTGTCCCCTTTTGCTTTGCCCTAAGCCCCAGTGAAATCAGCCATGGCAAGAGCGTGACCCCCTTCCTTGGGAAAAACTTGCCTGGAGTTTCTTTCATTCACAGCCTTGCCTCACCCCCTCCCCAAAAGACTGCACAAGTAAACAAAAATCAGATACCCCATCTTTTTTTTTAGAGCAGTTTTAGGTTCATAGCAAAATTGAGGAGAAAGTGCAGAGATTTCCCATATATCTCCTGCCCCCACAAATGCACAGCCTCCCCATTATCAACATCCCCCACCAGAGTGAGACATTTGTTACACTCAAACCTGCACTGACACATCATAATCACCCGAAGTCCACAGTTTACATTAGGATTCACTCTTGGTGTTGTACATTCTGTGGGTTTGGACAAATGTATGGTGATGTGTTTCCATCGTTACGGCAGATACCTCAATGTTTAAGTTCCTAGAGGATTAAGAGCAGATGTATTGGTAACTTTAGGAAAGTGCTTGCAAAGTGCCAGAGTGCCCCTGACAAGGTACTTCAACCCTATGTGAACCCTAAGTGAACCCTTTGTGAACCTGGGAGGGGAATGATTGAGGCCTTCCAATGTTTTCAATGCAGTGTCTTACTAAATCCTCCCAATAGAACTGTGAGGCAGCTGGGATGGTCCCATTTTACAGATGAGTTTGCAGAAGCACAGAAAGGTTAAATAACTTACTTAACCTTTGCTGGGAGGTCACAGGGCTGGCACTGAACCCCATGTCTGAGACCCAAAGCCCATTTTTCCAGTAAATCACGCTTGTGTATAATGTCTCACCATCTCGGAAAGCTCTGCTTATGTTTCATTTATTATCTATGTGCCTTGTGCCACCAACCAAAGAAAGCATACATGTCCCAAAGAGCAGGAGCTTATACTTGCACCCTTTTTGTATTTCCTAGAATGGTTTTGCTCTTAGTAGGTGAAGAAGGTTCGTTTGATTGATGGGCACTTCTTACAAGCTCTGGGTTCCAGTGGAACTCCCAGTGGGAGTCAGGGCAATATCATAACCCTTTTAAGGTCTCTCAACAAGCCCAGTATCATAAGTGCATGGAGGGCACAGTATTGGCATATAGTCCCAACAGGTGTGTAGTTAGCTAGGTATCATGAGCACACACAAGCTGTGGCACAAGAATGAAAGGTGTTGCTGGAAAAATGTCAGCTATAAGTAAACCTAGATAATTATAAGTGTATTTCTAGCCCATCATTATTATATAGAAGAAAAACACGAATGAGAAATTTCATTTTATCATGCCAAACTGATTTTTTAATTAAGTCATGGAATGCATTTTACATAGTTGCAATTTATATGTGCATAAAATTTTGTTTCTGATTTTTTTAACAGGATTTGTTTGCACATTTCTATTTCTTCACATGATTCACATACTTGTATTTTACTTACTATGCAGTCTTGTTGCTGTATTGTAATCAACTTAACCAATTTTCTACACTTGCCACTTGAGCTGTTTTCAAAGAAGTTTTTTTTAGTGTCCAGTATTTAAAGTATTTAGTATTTAATACATTGATAAAAATAATCTTAGTGCATGGGTTGGGGGAGGTAAAATTACTGTTTTAAAGGGCACAGGAAGATAACAATAGTACTTATTATATAATTGCTTAATAGTTTTCCAGAAAATGATCACCATGTGCCTAGCACATTAAAGCAGTGTTTAAAAATATATATATTTTTTTATCTTTTGCCAGTAGGTGAATAATTAAAGTTATTTAATGTTGTTTTTCTTTCTCATATTTTTGAGTAGGAACAACTAATTTTGTTGAAAATGCTTTCCTAAGATAGTCAAGTTTGAGAAAGGGTGCTGAGTGGACGAGGTATAGCCTGAGGGATGAATAAGAAAGACTTTTCTGGCCTTTAGGGGGTGACACAGGAGAGTAAATTGAGCCAGAAACAGAAGGCAAAGAAGCCAGAAGCAAGATGTGCATATAAAGTAAATGAACACAGGCTATTGGGCGTCAGCAAAAACGAAGACATGGTGGCTAGTAAGGGTGAAACTGAGGTAAGCTCTGAAGGAAGATCAAGAAAGTTTAAAATAAGTGCTGAAAATGGGGAGAGTGACTGAAGAAACAGAAAGCGTTTCTGTTGCGCGGCTGTCCACGCCATCCACGGGTAAGGGTCTCCCCCTTAGTACCCCTCAAAGTGGCCAGACGAGGGTCCCAGCTAGGAAGCGATTAAACACAAAGGAAGTACGTTAGCCTGAGTGTATTTTCAACTATGAATTGTAACCCCTCATCAGAAAATACATTCTTGTTGTGCAAGTAATTGTGTGGTTAAGATGAATGAGAAAGTATAACAGCCTGCTCTCTTTCTCTTACCAGAAGGTGGATTTCTCCTACAACCAAATTTCAGAAATGTGTGATTTGTCGGCATATGAGTCTCTCACGAAACTAATTTTGGACAGTATCCTTTGAATGATTAAAGGGGAAAGTTTGATTAAGAGGCCCATTAATACATGTGTACTGGATGACCTGAAATAGTGCGGGATAGGCACTTTACTAGAGATGTGTGACTCATTTAAACGGTTAAGAATTGATATTCACAAAATGAGGATATTTTACTGACCAAGGAGTAAGAGTGCAAATCAGAGCTTGCCAAGAACATCTTACATCTGAAGAGCTAAGAAGACAGTCATTCGTCTGATAAACATAGGCTTATTTTTAATTCTAGAACCGGATAAGAAGTTCTGTTTTACCCGACTCCTTTCTTCAAATTTACTTGAACTGGAACCTTATTTTATGTAAATTCAGTATCTGAAAATCCAGATACGGCCAAAATTAGTGATTATTTATTTTACAAAAGAATTCACACTAAGTTCCCTTTAACTAGCAAGCCTCTCTAGTGTATCTCAAATGACGCTTTCATAAAAATTTTAAAAAAGTAAAACCAACAATTTTTGATTCGCATGCAACTTCAAGAACATATCTGTTGCATGAGCCAGGCTCCTGTGCAAACAGAGCACCTACCTTAACATAGACACACTCCAGCTTCTGGACCCTAAGGGGTTGACTGGGGATCTGTGAGTTTAATGAGCTTGAGTCTCTTCCTTGCCCTAGAGACCAGTGTTCTCTGGATGATAAGGGAACAGCGCCTTCTCTTTCTCAGTATCTTTCTACCCCCCTGAGGATTTTTCAGGGCAGAGTGGAGAACGAATTGATTGCCCTTGGATACCTCATTCCAGGGATGTGGCAGCAGCTCGTACACACTAGTAATGAGGCTGAGATGTGAGGAGAACAGAAGGTATGTTTTCTTGAAGACATATTTTGTAGGAAAAACGCTTTATTTGTATATGATGGAAAGCGTAAAACATCACATCACTCTCTTTAGAACTTGTGTGTGAAAATGAGCAATTAGTGGACATTTAGAGGGTGCTCTTGAAACGAGCAAGTTTTCCTGAACGTAGCTGAATGAGAAAATGATCAAAATGAAATGTTTTGATGACAAAGTAAAAGTAGTACATATTAGCGGCACCTGTCCATAGAACCTGCACTTTATGCTTGACTGTATATATATTTCATTTGGAAAGAGATAGAGTCTGACGGCCCAGAAGCTGTCTGGCTCAGAGATCTACTCATCTCAGGCCATCTAGAAGAATGCTCCTCAGGGACCACCAGCAGTGTCAGCATTGCCTGGAACTTCTTAGAAATGCAGATTCTTGGATGCTACCCCAGACCTCTGAAATCAGAATCTGCATTTTTAACAAGACCCCCAGGTGATGTGAGTTCATATTAAAGCTTGAGGAGCCCTGGTCTAGCCGTCAGCTGCCCCTCTAAACTCCAACCAGACAAAAGGGATTGAGCATCCAGAGTTCCTTCTGTTCTTCAGTGCACCCTGAGTGAGAATGGTGACACGAAAGTCTGGAGTTCTGTCTCCCAGAAAATATTCTATGTGCAAGCATGGAATTGCCAGAGAAAACTTCACAGTATTTTGGACTGAAAATGGAGGATGCATTTTAAAACATTTCTATCATGAAAGTCTTAATTTCTACATAAATTTATCTTTCCATGTAAAAAGCTAAACTGTTGTGACTTTGTAAATGTCAACGGAGGAAAGAATCAGGGTTTTTTAAACTTGACTTCAGATGTAACAATGGAGCCTTATCTCCAAAGTGTAAAAAGCTTTATTACATCAGAACCGATTGGAATTCAGAACATAGACACATAATTAGAATGTAAATACCGTGGCACTATTCCTCATCTTTGTTTTTAAAAATGCAAAGACAAACACCCAGAACTAGCCCCCCTTCATAAACTACCTCTTAGACAGCTTACGGTTTTGAAAAGAGAGTAGGCTAATTTTTAAACAGTGCTAACTATGCCTCTTTCTTTTGTTCTGTTCAGGTATATCATATTGTATACAATTATGTAATTAGAGTTTTGAAAAGACTTAAAAGCTTTGAGATAAAAAAGAATTTCTAAACAACTTTTTAATGCCAGAACATTTAAAAACTTAGATGAAGTGGATAAATCCCTAGAAAAATGTTATACACCAAAGCACTGACTTGGAGATAGAAACCCTGAGTAGTCCTATAACTATAAAACTAGTTCATTACAAATTAAAATCAATTAAATTAAAAATCTGCATACAATAAAACCCAACTTTCAAAAACAAACCTTTCAAAAATGAACAAATTCTTTCAAAGGTTTAAAATAGAAGGCATATTCACAATTCATTTTAATGAGGTTACTTTGTTACCCAAACCAGACAAGGAACAGTAAGAGAAAAGAAAATGACAGGCTTATTTCACTTGTGATATAGATGTAAAAATCCTAAACAAAATATTAGCAAACCGATTCTGACAGTATATGTAAAAGATAATATACCATGACCAAGTTAGGTTTATCTCATGAATGTAAGGGTAGTTTAACATTAGAAAATTTTAAAATGTCATTAACGACATGAACAGATTAAGGGAAATAAATCATATGATAAATAGATATAGAAGCTCAATAGATACAGAAAATTTAATAGAATCCATTCTTCATTCACAATAAAAACTTTTAGTAAACTAGTAATAGGGAGTTTCCTCAACTTGATAAGAATGTCAACAAAAATATTTGAAACAAACTTTATCCTAACTGGGGACATGTTCTAAGCACTCTTTAAAATCAAGGATACAAGAGAAGATAACCGCCTTTGCCACTTCTAACCGTCATTGTTTAAGAGGTCTTACTCAGCAGCATAAGATAAAGAAATGAAAGCAAAGTATAAAGATGGATAAGGAGAAAAAGTCATTTTTTGCAAATGATATGATTGTCTACAGAATATAAAAAAGAACTTGCAATAAACTACTAGAAATAATAGAGTTTTGGGAGTTCCACAAGGTAGTTGGATATGACTTCAATAAACAGAAATCGATTGCATTACTCTACACCACAAACAAGCAACTAGAAAACACAACCTTGAAACGCCATTTACAAGAATATGTATCTTATTAAAGATGAATAAGACCTGTCGGGGGAACATAATAAAACTTTATTGAAGGATATTAAAGACCTGACTAAAGGGAAATATAGTATGTTCCTGGATATGAAGATGGGAGAAGATGTGTAAATATAATTTTATAGAAAATGAATCAGAAAGGCTAACAAACATATGAAGACATGTCAACCTCATTTGTATTCAGAGAAATGCAAGTCAAGCTCACGATATACTATATCCATTCAGTTGACAGAATGTAAGAAATCTAAAAATGCCATGTGTTGGAGAACACATAGGTCAAGAGGATCTCTATTTTTCTTCCTTATGGGTGTGAAATTTGTTCAACCACTGTGGAAAACAGTTTTGTGCAATCTCGTAAAATTGAACATCCACGTTTTCTATGATCTAGCACTTTCATTCCTATATATAGGAAGTTTAGCATACGTGTACCTGGAGGCTTATAATAGCAAAAAACTGAAATAGCCCAAATATTCCTTGATAAGAGAGCATAAATAAATTATGGTATACTGATACAATAGAATTATCATATAGTTGTGAAAATGAATAAACTGTATATATCTCCATGCACCAGTAAAGTTGACTATTAATAAAACAAAATACAATTTTTTAAAATTAAAAAAAATTTTTTAATTAGAAATTTTTAAAAAAAAATTTTTGCCTGCGTTGGGTCTTCGTTGCTGCACGCGGGCTTTCTCTAGTTGAGGTGAGCGGGGGCTACTCTTCCTTGCGATGCGCGGGCTTCTCATTGCAGTGGCTTCTCTTGTTGTGGAGCACGGGCTCTAGGCGTGCCGCCTTCAGTAGTTGCAGTGCGTGGGCTCAGTAGTTGTGGCTCGCGGGCTCTAGAGCACAGGCTCAGTAGTTGTGGTGCACAGGCTTAGTTGCTCCGTGGTATGTGGGATCTTCCCAGACCAGGGATCGAACCCGTGTCCCCTGCACTGGCAGGCGGATTCTTCACCACTGCGCCACCAGGGAATTCCAAACCAAATATAATTTAGGTATAAAACCAAAGGGGAAAGGGAAGAAGAAATAGGCAGTTCAGCCTAGGGGTTATCTCTGAGAGGGAGCCGTCAAGACGTGACAGGAGAGGTGTGCAGAGGTAGATGTAACTTACTGCTAATATTCTACTTCTTGGGCTGGGAATGGTGGTGGTTTCAAGAATACTCATCAAATTTTTAAAAGTTAATAAAAGCAGGCCATGTATGGCCAATGATGTGCCTGTCCTCATTAAAATTTTTTTAAATTTGAAACTTAGAAATTAATTTCCTTGAAAACAGTTAGTTACCAAATGTTAAAGTCCAGCTCTATCAGAATTCCCTGGAATTCTGGTCCCCACCCTCCTATTTCTGGTCCCCACCCTCCAGAGCTTTTGGTTAAGTAGGTCTGGGGTGGTACCTGAGAACTTGAATATCTAACAAGTTCCGGGATGATGCTGGCATTGCTGGTCTGAGGACCACACTTTGAGATCCACCCCTCTAAGCTAATCAGTCCTGTCTGTTATATCTTGAATGTCATGCTTTTCTCATTTGCTGCCATTCCATTTGTCCTTTTTTACATGCTTTAGAAATTTGGCTTTTTTAACTTTTTGTATTTATTCAAGCTTTCCTTAGTGAGCATCTGTGTTTTCTATTTGAGGGGAAAAAATTGCACTTTTGTTTAAAGTAAAATTAAAAGAGAAGTATAATTATCAATATTAAAAGCAGTTATTTAAAATTAAAAACAAATCAATTAATCAAGCTAGTAGTGCTGACAATGTGATTGTAGTAGATTATGTTAATGCCTCAGAATGAATTGTTAACTGTGAAATAGCCACTTTCTTAGTTAATCTTATTAATGCTATTTTTTCCTTCTGTAGGTGGGTGACTGATGATTGACAATCCCCCCAAATGGAAAGATGATAAACTTTGCCGAGGATTAGCATATTTATTCAGTCTTAAGAAAGGATGCAGTTTATTCTTTACCTATAAATATTAATTGATCATTGGAATTTATTCCATGATTATAGACTCATGAAGTTTTTAAAAAGTGATTTATAGAATTTTTAAATCCAGCCAGGACTTTAGGGATCATCTAGTGCTGTTATTTTATGGGAGAGGAGCCTGAGACTCAGGGAAACATCCGATATTATTTGGTAAGTGGTTGAGCTGAGACTAGTCTTCTGCATTCCATTGTTCTTCTCATGTTGCAATTCATTGAATAATTACTACTTTTATCACATAGCCATTTAAAATGTATGCATGTTTCATTTCTTAAAGAGATTCACTCCCATAGTGAAGAACATTTTTCACTGGTAAGGTGATATAGATCCTTCAGGATTGGTTTTGATTAAAGTCATCATTGTGGTTCTTTCCACTAAGAGAATTGTGATGGATTTCCTATTTATTTCTTAGTAACTGTTTTCTGTACACCCGGCCCATATTTTATGGTTGTAGACAAATGAATAAGAGCAAGTGCTGACTAGTGAATAATTCATGTCAAGCACTGTGAACTGCTGACAGCATCGCCCAAATGTAAAAATATATTGTTGGGCTTTTCCCTAGCTGTAAAGTTATGCTTATGTGCCTTTGGATTCCTTCACTCAGTTTCCACGAGGATCTAACATTCCACTGTAAAAGATTTATTCACAGAATCATAAAATTTTAGAGCTGGAATGCAGTATGATGATCTTGTGTTCTCTGAGTCTCTTTCTCCTGATAGTAGCCTTTTAAAATTAAACTATACCTAAGAGGATTAACTCAATAAGCTAATTCATTGTAACAGTTTAGTGGCTTATCTGATTATATTTCTTCTTATCGGAATGTCCCAAGATTTATGAAAGAACATGAAAGAATAATGTTAGGAGGAAGGGCAAGTAACATTTCATGAAGGTTCTTAAGAAAAGGGGAGATTGGAGAGATAAAGGTATTCCTGAATTTAGAGCTCTGGATGGACCAGTCCTGCATATTGACTGTTGGCATTACTGGCAGTCACATATGATGTGACCATGGGAGTAATTAGCAGGGGAAGCCATTGCGCCACCGTGAAAAGTACTCTTTACTTAAGAGCTTGACTGCGGTTGACCCTTGAATAATGGTGGGGGTTAGGGGACCGATCCCAGAGCAATCGAATAGCCACACATAACTTTACAGTAAGCCCTTTGTATCCGCGGTTGTGCACCAGTAGATTCAACCAACCTCTACAGGTGGTGTACCACTGTAGTATGTATTTAGTGAAAAAAAAAAAATCCATGTATAAGTGGACCCATACATTTCAGACCTGTTTGTCAAGAGTCACCTGTAATTTATAGTGCCTAAAATTCCTTGAAATTTAAAGGGGAGTGAAGAGTTGGGAAATAGGAGATGCTTTCGGTGAAATGAACCTATTTCTCAGCAGAGATGTTCAGTCAGCTCCTCACCCTTTGCCCCAGTGCTGTGAGTGATGGCAGTGGCAGCTGCAGAAGCCATAGCCGCGACTGCAGGGGGGCATCTGTATTCCTCCTCCTTCTGGCCCTTGCAATACTAACTTCATAAAACATGACTTGCCCTGCTAGTCAAAGCTAGAGAGTAAGCTGGATGCACCAAGGGAACGGCCTCTAATGTCTTGGAAAATTACTGCATACAGGCTTTCCTTTTCAGTTCCCATTATCTCTTAACAGTGTCCGGATTCCTGTTTTCTGGTTTTCTAATCCTTGCCTGCTTCCCATGGGAGTGCTTCCTGACTCAGCCACCCACAAGCATTTGTTTTACTCTCTGTCGTAATTCAGAGTATCTTCGTTTCTGTTGAAGCTGAGCTACCAAGACACTAGTGCTCCTGAAATGGGACTTAAAGACTGTTGCTTCCTCTGCTAGATTAAGACATGGCCATTTGAAGTTTTCCGTGCTTAATTTTTGTTACCAAAGATTGCTACACTGAGGATATTTTATTTCATCTATAGAGTGATTGTTTAAATAGCCCAAAGAAAATGGAAGCAGAAAGAAGAGTCGTGTTTGTGAGCATAAGTGTCTATTTGTAGAGCTAGTCTGGCAGGAAGCTTTATGAACGTGGTTTTGAAATGCATGTTGACAACAAGCCGAACTATGCTTCAGCCCAAGGATTGAATCTGGAACCGGTGAGGAAAATCGAGGAATTTCTGGTTCATTTGGCAATATTTTCTCATCATTGCTTTTAGTTTCTTAATTAAACTCTGTCTCTGGCTTTGTTCTTTCAGAAGCAGTCCTGTCCTGAATGCTCCTTTTTGTGCTGCTGGCCAAGAGGCAGAGGATGTGATTCCTTGGCCTCATGTGCTTGTAATTTAGTAACGACAACAATGCCTTATAATTGTGAGGTACTTGTACAACTCACTCACATACATTTTCTAAATTTTTTCTCGTGATCTAACTTTTGGCCTTCATGGCAACCTGATGTTGTCTCCATTTTACAGATGAAAAATCTGAGCAGAGAGAAATTACATCACGTAACTAGTAAGTGGTAGAGTTAGGATAACTACAAATAATTATGAGGCAAAATGTATGTTTCTGTGATACTTACAGTCCCTTCCTTTCTCTTAAAAAATTTGTTGATTCTGTGATTAATCTCCATAGGTGGGGTGTTAGAAGTTGACCAGAAAAGGCTTTGAGGAAGAAAGAGTCTGTCTGGAGTGGATACCAAGAATTGGAATTGCTCTGATATTTACAATTATAATAGTCACTGCCAAATTGCCTCCAGAGAGTCTATACCATAATGAACCCTCTCACCCAGTAGTATGAAAGAATCTGTTCTTCAAAAGCTTTAAAATGTTTGCCAAACTGATAGGGAAAGGATAGCATCTTAATTTGCTTTCTCCCGACTACAGGTGAAGCAGAGTGTCTTTTCATATGTTTATTATGTTAGCCACTTGGATTTGCTCTTCTGGGAATTTCCTGGATATATTCTTGCCCCATTTTCTATTGGGTTATTGTCACTCTTTATGTTTTCTAGATAGTAATTCTTTGTATACTATATATGTTGTGAATATATTCGCCCAGTCTGTCACCTGTATTTACTTATGTAATTAAAAACTAATAGAAGTAGGGAAATGAGGTTGTCAAAAAGAAATACTTAAGATGTTGGTTTAATGCAAATGTTAAAAAAGAGAAAAAACTTTAAAAAGTGGAATTTCAAATTAAGTCCTGAAGAATGGGTAGGGTTTAGAAATAAGTAGGAAAGCAGTATTTAAAAAAATTAAGAAAGTCAAGGGGTATATTCCAGAACTATTGAGAAGATTGACCTGGCAGAATTGGAGCATTCTCACTGGATTATTATGGGGGATGAAATTCAATAAATAGGTTTTGCTTAAAGTAAAGGGCCTTAAATGCCAGAGTGAAGAATTTGGAATTCGTCCTGTGAGAATTTTTTAATTGAAGCGTGATATCCAGTCAATATTTTGAAAAAAATTAACCTGACTACAGTGTGTAAGGTGACTTGAGGGCAGGAAGAAATGGATGTTAGAGGTATCCATTGGTGCTAAAGCTGAATTAAGTTGGCAGAGGGGTGAATGACAAGGAAGGACATATTTGAAGAGATGTTTTAAAGCAAAATATGCCAGGTTTTGGTGATGATTGGACGCCCTGAAGATTACAAGTGGCTGAGAAAATGGTGATGTCTTAGGCTACTTGGGAGGGAAAACTGAGCTTGGATGGAGAAGTGATATTAAATCCTAGAAATTTGCCAGAAAGATTGAGGACAGAGAGAGGTAAGTAGAATTGGTGACTTTGAGTTTGCACTTTTAGGTGACTATAAGGATGGAAAACAAAAGGTAAGAGTTAAATTTTAAAATAACTAGAAAATCAACAGATGAGGAAAAGAAGGCTGAGTTTAGGCCTCATTTATTTTAAAGAGAAGAGAAGCCAATATAGATAGAAGAAAAGGCTATTCCTCTCAGTATCACCCATTTTCTGCAGATGACACCTCCCGGGCTGTTTCCCTGGTTATGGGGATGATAAAGTGCATGTGCCTCTCCAGGGCAACCCTGGATTCAGTTCTGCCTGTGGAAAAGTACAAGAGTTTCTCATGGAGACCATTCAGGAACCAAGGAAAAAACACTGCCAAGGTGGCAGCTTTGAACCACTCTGAAGTGTTTTTCCTCACTGATTAAATGAGTCACATATGAACACAAAGGCAACTGAGCACACTCAAAAGCTATGCCTTTAAAAAAAACAAACTAATTTTACCTGGTGCACTATTAACTTCTATATGAAAAAAATATCATTTTAAGATTTAGCATTCGTCCTATATTAGCATAGAGTACTTTTTTATTTATGCTGTTGCCTGATTTTTCTAATGATGATTTGACACTAATTCATTTTTTCTTCCAAATGTTTCTAATACCATTTTCCTTAAACATAGTCATGGTGATAGGCAATGAGATAGCTGAAATCAACGGACTAGAGCTGTGTAGCAGTCTTAACCACCTTAGTTTGGCCAAGAACAAGATCACAGCCATTAATGGCTTAGGAATGTTACCGATCAAAATACTTTGTCTGGTGAGTCTAACAAAAGTGTTATTCTTTATAGAAGTACTAGTTAATGTCTTAGTAAATATATGAATGATAGTTAGGATTTTTCAGTTTTATAAAGAGCTAATTCCTTCATGAAATGTCATTGTCTTTAGTGCTGTTTGCTCCTTTCCATATCTGGGGTGTGTGTGTGGTGTGTGTGTGTGTGTGTGTGATGAATAATTCATGGTAAAGTAAAATGATTTCCTAATTTGGTACACAAATTCCGTTTTTTAAAAGATTGACTTTAACACTGAGAAAGGAAGGCATACTTTTAGCAACTATTAAGAATATTTTTATAATAACCAAGAGATCACTGAAGAAATCAGAAAGGAAATAAAAAAATACCTAGAAACAAATGACAATGAAAACACGATGACCCAAAACCTATGAGATGCAGCAAAAGCAGTTCCAAGAGGGAAGTTTATACCACTACAATCCAACCTCAAGAAACAAGAAACATCTCAAACAACCTAACCTTACACCTAAAGCAATTAGAGAAAGAAGAACAAAAAAACCCCAGAGTTAGCAGAAGGAGAGAAATCATAAAGATCAGATCAGAAATAAATGAAAAAGAAATGAAGGAAACAATAGCAAAGATCAATAAAACTAGAAGCTGGGTCTTTGAGAAGATAAACAAAATTGATAAACCATTAGCCAGACTCATCAAGAAAAAAAGGGAGAAGACATATCAACAGAATTAGAAATGAAAAAGGAGAAGTAACAACTGACCCTGCAGAAATACAAAGGCTCATGATAGATTACTACAAGCAACTATATGCCAATAAAATGGACAACCTGGAAGAAATGGACACATTCTTAGAAAAGCACAAACTTCTGAGACTGAACCAAGAAGAAATAGAAAATATAAACAGACCAGTCACAAGCCCTGAAATTGAGACTGTGATTAAAAATCTTCCAACAAACAAAAGGCCAGGACCAGATGGCTTCACAGGCGAGTTCTGTCAAACATTAGAGAAGAGCTAACACCTATCCTTCTCAAACTCTTCCAAAATATAGCAGAGGGAGGAACACTCCCAAACTCATTCTAAAAGGCCACCATCACCCTGATACCAAAACCACACAAAGATGTCACAAAGAAAGAAAATTACAGGCCAATATCACTGATGAACATAGATGCAAAAATCCTCAACAAAATACTAGCAAACAGAATCCAACAGCACATTAAAAGCATCATACACCATGATCAGGTGGGGTTTATCCCAGGAATGCAAAAATTCTTCAATATACGCAAATCAATCAATGAAAGAAATGCACATTTATGATAAAATCCCTGCAGAAAGTAGGCATAGAGGGAACTTAACAAAATAAAGGCCATATATGACAAACCCACAGCCAACATCGTTCTCAATGGTGAAAAACTGAAACGATTTCCACTAAGATCAGGAACAAGACAAGGTTGCCCACTCTCACCACTGTTATTCAACATAGTTTTGGACGTTTTAGCTACAGCAATCAGAGAAGAAAAAGAAATAAAAGGAATCCAAATCGGAAAAGAAGAAGTAAAGCTGTCACTGTTTGCAGATGACATGATACTATACATAGAGAATACTAAAGACGCTACCAGAAAACTACTAGAGCTAATCAATGAATTTAGTAAAGTAGCAGTATACAAAATTAATGCACAGAAATCTCTTGCATTCCTATACACCAATGATGAAAAATCTGAAACAGAAATTAAGGAAACACTGCCATTTACCATTGCAACAAAAAGAATAAAATACCTAGGAATAAACCTACCTAAGGAGACAAAAGACCTGTATGCAGAAAACTATAAGACACTGATGAAAGAAATTAAAGATGATAGCAACAGATGGAGAGATATACCATGTTCTTGGATTGGAAGAATCAATATTGTGAAAATGACTCTACTACCCAAAGCAATCTACAGATTCAGTGCAATCCCTATCAAACTACAAATGTCATTTTTCACAGAACTAGAACAAAAAATTTCACAATTTGTATGGAAACACAAAAGACCCCAAATAGCCAAAGCAATCTTGAGAAAGAAAAATGGAGCTGGAGGAATCAGGCTCCCTGACTTCAGACTATACTCCAAAGCTACAGTAATCAAGACAGTATGGTACTGGCACAAAAACAGAAATATAGATCAATGGAACAGGATAGAAAGCCCAGAGATAAACCCACGCACGTATGATCACCTTATTTTTGATAAAGGAGGCAAGAATATACAATGGGAAAAGACAGCCTCTTCAGTAAATGGTGCTGGGAAAACTGGACAGCTACACGTGAAAGAATGAAATTAGAACACTCCCTAACACCATACACAAAAATAAACTCAAAATGAATTAAAGACCTTAATGTAAGGCCAGGCACTATAAAACTCTTGGGGGGAAACATAGGCAGAACACTCTGTGACATAAATCACAGCAAGATCCTTTTTGACCCTCCTCCTAGAGAAATGGAAATAAAAATAAACAAATGGGACCTAATGAACCTTAAAAGCTTTTGCACAGCAAAGGAAAACATAAACAAGACAAAAAGACAGCCCTCAGAGTGGGAGAAAAATATTTGCAAGCGAAGCAACTGGCAAAGGATTAATCTCCAAAATTTACAAGCAGCTCATGCAGCTCAATGTCAAAAACCGAAGAACCCAATCCAGAAATGGGCAGAAGACCTACATAGACATTTCTCCAAAGAAGATATACAGATTGCCAACAAACACATGAAAGGATGCTCAACATCACTAATCATTAGAGAAATGCAAATCAAAACTACAGTGAGCTATCACCTCACACCGGTCACAATGGCCATCATCAAAAAATCTACAAACAATAAATGGTGGAGAGCGTGTGGAGAAAAGGGAACCCTCTTGCACTGTTGGTGGGAATGTAAATTGATACAGCCACTATGGAGAACAGTATGGAGGTCCCTTAAAAAACTAAAAACAGAACTACCATATGACCCAGAAATCCCACTACTGGGCGTATGCCCTGAGAAAACCATAATTCAAAAAGAGTTATGTACCACAATGTTCATTGCAGCTCTATTTACAATAGCCAGGACATGGAAGCAACCTAAGTGTCCATCGATAGATGAATGGATAAAGAAGAAGTGGTACATATATACAATGCAATATTACTCAGCCATAAAAAGAAACAAAATTGAGTTATTTGTAATTTGGTGGATGGACCTAGAGTCTGTCATACAGAGTGAAGTAAGTCAGAAAGAGAAAAACAAATACCATATGCTAACACATATATATGGATTTTTTAAAAAAAATGGTTCTGAAGAACCTAGGGGCAGGACAGCAATAAAGACGCAGACGTAGAGAATGGACTTGAGGTCGTGGGAAGTGGGAAGGATAAGCTGGGATGAATTAAGGGAGTGGCATGGACTTATATACACTACCAAATGTAAAATAGACAGCTAGTGGGAAGCAGCCGCTTAGCACAGGGAGATCAGCTCGGTGCTTTGTGACTACCTAGGGGGCTGGAATAGGGAGGGTGGGAGGGAGACGCAAGAGGGAGGAGATATGGGGCTATATGTATACGTATAGATGATTCACTGTTATAAAGCAGAAACTAACACACCATTGTAAAGCAGTTATACTCCACTGAAGATGTTAAAAAATAGAATATATTTTAATGTCTTATTGATGAAATAACATTTAAACATATTTAAACATAATATTTATTGCAGTTGAAACTTCATTGCTCTCAAATGAAGCGCTGGGCACTGAATTTGGCAGTCCTTTTACATCACTATGTGCCAGTTTCCCATTGTAGAAAACCAGAATTAGTGCTGAGAATAAATGAGCGATTCCCATCAAGAAGTTAAAATTTTTAATGTTTTTCCCATAGAGAGCGTGCTTCTTAAGCTGTATGACAGTGTGACTCTGACTGAATGAAAATACAGACAATTTACTTTAAAATCAGCAGGATCATAGTTGTTCCAAAGATATATACAGTATTTTTGAAATAACAGTCTAGCTCATTAATTTGGGGGTGATTATATAGTTTGTAGATTATCTAGGATTATTTCTTCTTCCTTTCCTTCTCCTTCTCACTTCTTACCCTTGGATGGCTTTGGGATTCTTTATTATATCTGTCATGAGGTGGATGGGGGGATTTTAAGCCATGAGGCTAGTAGCTTATTTCTTACGTGAACTATCCCACAGGACAGTGTTGAACATTGTTGGTTTTTTTTGTTTGTTTGTTTGTTTGCGGTACGCGGGCCTCTCACTGTTGTGGCCTATCCCGTCGCGGAGCACAGGCTCCGGACGTGCAGGCTCAGCGGCCATGGCTCACGGGCCCAGCCGCTCCGCGGCATGTGGGATCCTCCCGGACCGGGGCACGAACCCGTGTCCCCTGCATCAGCAGGTGGACTCTCAACCACTGCGCCACCAGGGAAGCCCCGAACATTGTTGTTTGAAATGACATCTTGGGTTATCTGCAGATTTTTGACATACACAATGTACAATCCTGTCTAATTTAACCACAGACAGCTGACGGTTGGCTATGTGTTAAGCCTGAAGTGCTTTTTCAAGAGCCTTCACTTCTTACAATGAGTTAGGTGAGGGTAAAGTACTGGTTCCCAGTACTGAGGTTGGAAATGAAGCATGGAAAGGTTTAATAATTTCCTTGAGTTTTTCTGTTTTCTGTCCACTAAGGCATGTAAGCAAAGCATAAATGAAAATGAATTTGGTAAGCTGAATTGCAAATTTAAAAATTATAAAAGAAAGTCACATTTTAAAATTATGATAATTTGAAGGATTATTGGCAGTATATTCTATTTAATTTGCAGCTTGTTAGAACCTTATCCTTTTATTTACATATCTTTTTGCATTGGCATTCCCATTAACTTTAAGTGGAGCATGATATGTGGAAAGAGATTGGGGGTGTGCTTAAGGGAATGAGAATTGAACTGATTATTAAGAATGACATCACATAGCACTTTCATCCTAAGACTTTGTTTCAATAACTAAATAAATAATCTGTGTTGATAATTTCATCTCAAGTAGCTTTTAGAAGAAGCATAAAAGACTTATTTTTCCTATAAGTAGATTAAGTGGATTGTTCCCAACCCCCATCCTCATCACCCAAAATGAACTAGAAAATACAGAATATGCCATCATTCATTTTCCTTAAACTTTTTGAGAATAGGAAGGTTTTCTTTTCCATATATTAAAAAAATTCATAAAATAAAATGATACTCATTTGTTTCAATAGTTTTTAATACTTTTTAAAAGATTTGTGGTACCAGTAATCCAATTAGTTTACTACTGAAAGTAATTCATTTTACACTTTAGAGAAAAAAGAACAATTCACTATACAAACCAGTTGTTAATTCTCTTCCATCAACTTTTTTTTTTAAAATAAATTTATTTATTTATTTTTGGCTGTGTTGGGTCTTCGTTGCTGCGTGCATGCTTTCTCTAGTTGCAGTGCACGGGCTTCTCATTGTGGTGGCTTATCTTGTTGCAGAGCAACAAGAGGGCTCTAGGCACGCAGGCTTCGGTAGTTGTGGATTGCGGGCTCTAGAGCACAGGCTCAGTAGTTGTGGCACACGGGCTTAGTTGCTCCGCAGCATGTGGGATCTTCCCGGTCCAGGGCTCGAACCCATGTCCCCTGCATTGGCAGGCAGATTCTTAACCACTGCGCCAACAGGAGAGTCCCTCTTCCATCAACTTTTACCATAAATATTAGGGGGAAATGTGGTTCACTTATGGTCTGCTCTGTCAACCACCTCCTTTAGCAAGTAAGGACAATACATTCCAAACTTCAAAAATCATTTTGTCTTGGTAAAAGCCATTTTTTTTCCCTTCCAACTTGGGAGATCGAGAATATTTCTCGTTTCATTTTAGTTTCTCTCTAAAGACCGCCTTTTCCCTGCTAATCATGATAAAACAAGCAAGAACTGTTCATGCACGCACTAGACGTGCACTTTGAGAAGAGATGTATCAGTTTTTCATCATTGGATATAGGGTTTTACTAGATAACTTTGACTCAGAAATTCTGATTCGTAATACTTCTCAGTTCTGCTTTCTTTTATGACCACAGGTTATGTAATTAAACTTTTCTATGCCTCAGCCTGTTCTTGTGCATCTACCGCTTTGAAAGCCATCAGAGACACTCTAAAGAAGAATTACAGTTCATCTTCCACATCTACAGCACTTCAAAGGTCTTTGGGGAAGAGGTGTATTATACATAAATTTGATATGTGGGCATATTTTAAATAGGATATTGAGGTCTTATTTCAATAAGTTAATAAGGATATTATGTTCAGTTTACTGTAGGTTTTTTCTTTCCCCTTTCTATTACACTTTCTAGAACTTTTTTGAACAGTAGGAAATTTGACTTAGGCAAATGGAGTTATGAGTATTTCTCCTTATTATGGAATTTTTCAGACATATATAAAAATAAAAAGAATAGTTTAATGAACCCCCATGTACTATCGTCCAGTTTTATAGATTATCAGCATTCTATTAATATATTTTAAACAACCATAGAATTATACTAATGAACATAAACCTTGCTCATTATTGAAGTGAAATCTTATGAAAAGTTGAGTGAAAATGAACTCTTACTATTAAATACTTTGGGAAGCATGTACCAGGAAAAATATTATAGATGGTAGAGAATACTATAAGTTTTTAGTTCTAAAGTGCTTAGTAAAAGTTTTAAAAGTTTAAGGATGGGGGGAATTCCATGGTGGTCCAGTGGTTAGGACTGCACACTTCCACTGCAGGGAAACAGGTTCGATCCCTGGTCAGGGACCTGGGATCTTGAGTGCATGGTGTGGCCAAAAAAAAAGTTTAAGGATGGGTATAATGTGGCATTAATTGAAATCTCAAAATTACACTTTACTGTGCTTCTCAACTCAAAGTTTAACTTTACTGCGGCATAGTTTTATACCTCAAAGGCTAAAGAACCCAAGGAATTTTGAGAATGTTGGGAAATGTACAAGAAAGTACAAATTATTGTTATCACTATAATTTGTTGTTATGGGTACAGGGGGCTTGGGAAGAAGAACAGTGTTTAAGTCTTATATCTTTCTCTGTTTCATGGTATTGTCTAAGAAGATGCTTACGTGTGAATTATTTAAGAACTTTGTTTATGTATCTATTGTTGTAGAACATGCCACCCCATGTGGAGTGGCATGGAGAAATTCTATTAGTTAACCATTTTATTAGCTAGCAGTTCTGTAATCTGAGCTGGGCCCAGCTGGGCGGTTCTGCTGGTCTTGCCACGTCCAGCTAGCAGATTGGCTGTGGGCTGGGCTCAGCCAGGATGCTGCAATGGCTGGGTTTCTCCTCTCTGTTTAGCCTCAGGGCTCCTCTCCAGGTGACCTCTCCACAGATTCCCTCCCACAGAGTGGCTAGAGTTCTTACATGGCAGCTTAGGGCTCCAAGACACAAGAGGAGATGCTGCCAGGCCTTCCTAAGTCTTAGATTTGGAACCGGGACACTTCTGCCATATTCTTTTGGTTAAGGCAGGTCATAGGTCTATCCTGGATTCAAGAGGTGGAAACTGTACAAGAGCATGAATAAGTGGAGGCATGTACCAGACTACTACAGTCCTCATGATATGAGGTGATTATATTCAGAATATTTCTGAAAACAGAGTGTATGTGGGAGTTAGAGTATTCAAGTGGTTTTCTGTGATGGTGATGAAAGAATTGCATTAAATTTACATTTCTAAAGGTAAGTTAGGAGCCATGCTGCCATTAAGCTTGAGCTTAGCAATGTCAAAAGCTTATACTACCTAGCTTTTGTCTTTCTTGTTGATTCAAACATTCATCTGCTTTACCTCTAGCAAAAATATTATGTCCTGAGTCTTCCAGTTGAAAGACTGGGATTTCTTTCTGGGGTGTATGTATATGTGTTTAGGGAGGTGAAAGATGGGAATGGGAGGGGGGACAAGAATGTCTTACTGATTTTAAGAGGTTTGGGGCAGTATCCAGGATGAAAACTTGTCATTACACTTTTCCCTTTAGGACATTAAGTGTATTTTATCAATTTTAGAGCAATAACCAGATTGAGAAGATCACAGGTTTGGATGACCTAAGGGTCCTGCAGATCCTGGATCTGAGCCACAATCAGATCAGTAGCCTCCAAGGCTTAGAGAGTCATGACTTCTTGGAAGTGATCAACCTTGAGGATAATAAGGTAATGTCATATTATACTTTATATGTCTTGGTTTTAGTGTCTATAATTATTTCTCAAATGCTATCACATTCAATGCCAGCTCAGGAAAGTTACTCTAGAAAACCTCCTGGAGCAACAGTTGAAGGACTGCTTTTTTTTTTTTTTTAATAGTAATAATTCTTAATTTTTGAAAATTTGAAGATTGCTAATTACATGGTTTTGAAGGTTTAAACTGCAACCAGGTGCACATGACTTTGTGAAGTAGATATATTCGTGTGAAATCTGGGGTAGAAAGATGGCATTAGGAATGTCTGACGTGTCAGAGGAGGGAAGCTAGAGACAAGAGAATAGTCTCAGGCTGGTGTTGCCTGTGCCCCATTTAATGAGAAGAGACACAGGAAGTGAATTCTTATATCCTATTTGTAACAATAGGGTACGTTCCCAACCCGAATGAGTTGGGGATTGGACTTACTCAAATTACCCTATCTGGCTTAATGCACACATTACTTCACCAATTGGCTTTCACTTTTTTTTTTTTTTTTTTTTGTGGTACGCAGGCCTCTCACTGTTGTGGCCTCTCCTGTTTTGGAGCATAGGCTCCGGACACACAGGCTCAACGGCCATGGCTCACGGGCCTAGCCGCTCCGCGGCATGTGGGATCTTCCCGGACCGGGGCACGAACCCGCGTCCCCTGCATCAGCAGGCGGACTCTCAACCACTGCGCCACCAGGGAAGCCCAGATTTCACTCTTAATTACATTTTATTTTTAATAAAGCATTTGTGCTCCTAATCATGGCGTATTAAGTTGGTACCTATAACTCACCTCTTATGCAATCAGATCTACCATTGTGATTTTATTCATCTCGAGTACTTTTTCATATTTTGGGGAAAATTTTCATAAGGAAGATGAATGGTTATTTTTTCTTGAAAATGAAAATTTTGGCTAACCCTGAAAGAGACATAGATCCTAGCTGGAGTGAGATGCGTTCCTGTGGAGATATTTCTCTGTTTGGCTGTGTTGGTGCTTATCAGCTGGGCCTGATGACTCTTTCTCCAATGAGCTTCCATTAGCTGTTAGATTTCTAAAAATCAAGAAAAGGAGGCAATCTTTAGGTCTGGGAAGACGTGGATTTTTAATCACAGGCAAAAACTGTTCCTCCTCATTTTCACTTGACTTGCATATTAAATTGTTTGTTAACTTCTAAGGTTAATTCTAGTGGGTGACTTTTGTTCACTGTCCCACCTGTCTTATGAAGTCAGCACAATCTCTGTCTCATATGGTTTTAGTGTCTTTTTCATGAAACGGCCATTAAAATGGTTTGCAGATACATACAGGTGGTGTTCAAATGGCAGAATGCACTCATCACATTTCAACTCAGTGCATCTCAGGATTTAGGAAAAGGAGTAATGGTAATAATAATGACAATTACAGTCATAAAATAATGCAGAGATTTTCATTGCGTATTTATGCACGAGGCACTGTTTTAAGCACTTTGCATATATCATCTCATTTAATCCTCATTATAACCCTATTATTATCGCTATTCTACAGATGAAGAAACTAGAGCAAAGAGACGTTAAGTAACTTGTCCAAAGTTATACCATATCCAGTGAATAGCAGAGCCAGGGTTCAAACAGAATGATTTGCCTCCAGAGTCAGTGTTCTTAACCCTGCAGGCTAATACATTAAATGAAATGGTAATGGCCCTCCCTTCAGAAAAGTGTGTGGTGTTGTCATGATCTAGAAGAGTGCTTTCTGGCTTAAATATAATGTGAGCCTCATGTGTAATTTTAAATTTTCTAGTAGCCACAATAAAAAGGTATAAAAGAAACAGGTGAAATTAATTTTTTGCTTTATTTAGCCCAATATATCCAAAATATTGTCATTTCAACATGTAATCTTTATAAAAATTATTGATGAGATATTTTATATTCTGTTGTTTCATACTACGTTTAGGACATCTATTGTGTATTTTGCACAGTACATTTGAATTTATCCTAGCCATATTCCCAGTGGTAAGTAGCCACATAGGGCTAGTAACTACCATATTGGGTAGCACAGGTCTAGAAAGACCTCATGAATAGTATGGTGTTCTCTTCCATTCCAGGAGACTTTTCAAATTACATTTGAAATAGTTGAAGAAAAAAAGGGGGATCATTAGGGAAGAACAGAGTTTATAATTTTCAAATGTTGAAGAAACTCCATTAAAAAAGAAACAAGTGGCCACACGTCCCAAAGGAGGGATCCTTTGGCAACAAGCGATTGGGTCCGTAACAATGGCACAGTTCCCTCACTCCCCGCTGGGCAGGTTGGGGAACAACCAACAGTATGTGAAATATTCTGTAAGCCGAGCCATCCAGAGATTTCCTCAGAGATTTCTCTAGCACTACTGAGAATACTGTGTATCAAGGATGGAAGATTTATCATTTAAGAGAAACATAACATAGCTATTGCTTCTCATATGATTAACTTGATGTTAGGAATATTATCTTATTGGGAGCACTTTTATCAGTATTATTTACTTGCTATAAGCTGTTGAAACATTGCCGTAGCTTCACATGATCATTTGAACATCTCAGTTTTTTTGCAAATTCATCATGAGCTGGTGATTTGGGGGCCTTTGTCACTCTCCACGCTACAATCCTTGTTAGATTTGAAGTCATTTCTATCATTTAAAACTTATCCCCCAAATGTTAACTCTATTACAACCTCAGCCTTTTCTTCTAGAAGCAAAATATTGGTCTGGGAGTTACTTAGAGACTGCTCTTTTACTTCTCTGAGTCTTACTTAGTGTCATTATTTCATCTCTCTCTCTATCTAGCATGTATTTTACGAAAAAGACTTAACAGGCCTCTTTAGGTCTGGATGGTTAGGCTTGGAGAGCATGGCTTAAAAGGAAATGTCAAAGAAAGGAGCCAACTCTTCCCTACATAGTGGAAGTTGAAAGGCTTCTGCTTGGTGGGGAGTAGCCAACGGGGGCAGAGGAGATCAGGGGAGAAGGGTAGACTGGAATCTGGGGATCAGCGCTGCTGGTATGACATTCTTGGCATCGTGGCTGAAGTTCCTTTCAGAATATAATCTTTCTGGCAGTGTTTCACTTCAGGTGGTTTGGGGGAGTTGTGTCTGTACACCTTTTGTGATCACCTGTGACACACACAGCCTTGGGTCTTGGCATTTGAAGAGAGAAGACGTGAGGGTGGGTCTGCTGCCGGGTGAGATCGGGGTGGGCGGCGCATGCAGGATGGCCCGTGTCTGGTGCACATCACCAGTTCAGCAGAGGTGGGCACTGGTAGCCAGGTGCCTCCACGTGTGTTCCCCTCTGCCCTTACCCACTTCATCCTACCTTTGGAAGGACTGGGAGGGGAGCTGGATCCCTCTCATTTGACTCTCAAAAGACTGGTTCATCCCATCTGACATCTTAGTGATAATATTTTACATAGTCTGTGATTATTCTATTCATAGCGTTCACAGCATTTACAAGATCTTTCCATGTTAAGCATCATCGATGTTACCATCTTCTAAAATGGTTGCCTAGTGTTCCTGTTGTGGGCCTGTGCCATGACTCATTTAATCACATAATGATGGAATTTTTCAGAATTGAGAAAACTTTAAACTTTTACCAAAACGTTAGACCGAATGCTCATGTATCTAATTTTCGTCTGTCTGATGATCTTTTCAGTATAAACCTCCTGAAGGTGGGATAGCTGGTTTATAGCTTATGCATGTGTAGCACATCCACTCCCACCAGTGATGTCTGCAAGTGCACGTGGCCAGGATGCGTTGGTGAGACATGTTGGCTGCGAGGAAACATCTCCTCCTAACATTTGTGTTAGGTCCAAACACAAGAGCTGTAGGCTAGAGGGGAATCAATCTATTGATTGATTGAGCAGTGTGAACCAAAGTGACTCTTCCGCCTTCCCAAATAGCACAATATTTAAAAATTGATCCTTTTATCTTGTAGATGATCCAAATGGCAGTTTAATGGAGAGTCTAGTCATCTTATGGAAAAAGCATAACACTGCTGTAACCAGGTTAATGTGTGCAGGTTGTATATTGTAACTTGGAATTGGCCTTTCACATTATGTCTTTGAAAATGGCATCCTTAGAACGTGGCACATGTGTTCCTCCCCTGATTTAGCTTTGGGAATAGCTTACATCTCAACTGCATTTTGTGGTTGGATAACTCAGGAACTATTAGTGACTCTGCTGTTGGAGTGATCTTACCATGCATGCAGAAATGACTTGGGGAGAAATAGAAATGAAAAAGTGATTATTAATTTTTTGTAAAAGTTCAGCATCTACATCTGAAATAAGATTATAATTATGCTAATTACAGGACATTCAAGGAAAACTGTTTGTCTTTAGTTTAGTGGAGAATTCAGGCCTGCTGCCACCCAAGCTCTATCCCTGCTCAAATTAAGGAACTATCAAGCAACCTTTTTCCCTCTTACTTTTTCAAGTCATGAAACATTACCTGACAAAAAACGTGTATAACACATAAACGTACCATTTAGCAAAGAATTTTAAGGTGAGTAGTCATGTAACATTCACATCAAGAAATATGTCATACATGGGCTTCCCTGGTGGCGCAGTGGTTGAGAGTCCGCCTGCCGATGCAGGGGACACGGGTTCGTGCCCCGGCCCGGGAAGATCCCACATGCCACGGAGCGGCTGGGCCCGTGGGCCATGGCCGCTGAGCCTGCGCGTCCGGAGCCTGTGCTCCGCAACGGGAGAGGCCACAGCACTAAGAGGCCCGCATACCGAAAAAAAAAAAAAAAAAAAAGAAATATGTCATACAATCTCCCATGTTTACCTTTTATTAAAACAATTATCTCATTGAAAAACTGATTGAGCTCCACATGTACATGCAGTAAGAAGGCTTCCCCAGCCACAAATGACCACAGTAACCAGCAGAAGCAGCGTTGGGGAGGGAGATTGGGGAGCTGGAGGCTAAGCAGAATAGTAATGGAGAGAAGCATGTAGCCCTTGCATGCATTTTTTGCAGTTTCTCTGATTCTATGTACTATTTAATTTCTGCCTTAAGATAAACGTGGGTGAGATGAGAAACATCTACCTCACTGTTGTCTATCCAGAGAGGAAAAAAGAAAATGTGGCTGTGAGTTTGCATTTACTGAAGGAGCATGCAATAATTCCCTTGTTCTGTGTAGCTTTGTGGATTTCTCATTAAAAAGCTGGATAGTCACAAGAGCAATTTTTAAAATAAGTTGAGTTTAAAGGATTCAAAGTAGCTCCTCTTATATTACGTTCTCTGCTGTCTTGGTGCATTTAGTCTGTTGATTATATTGTGTGTGTGTGTTTGTTTTTGGATTAAACAGATTGCTGAGCTGGGTGAAATAGAATACATTGAAAACCTACGTCTCCTTCGAGTTCTCAATCTTCTAAGAAATCCAATTCGGGTGAGACATCCTTTATGTTGGGGGCAGGGGAGAGGGATGAGGACTTTCTTGAAATTCTTTATGAAGCGCTTTTGATAGAACATCAGGAATGTGAATAAGGTGTGTTTATCTTCATTCTCTATTAGAAGGTGTAAGCAAAGTCGCACCTATGTACCACCATAGGTGCATGTAAAGCCTGAAACTGAATACTGGTTGCCTACTCTGTGTGGTCATTTGTGACTCATCCGGGTGGTAATAAAGATTATCAGGCAGGAGCTATTGAGATTGTAGAGCAATGTCCTTTTACATGAAAGAATGCGTGATGCCTGAGGTGTAGATGGAATGTGGTTCCTATTTTATAACAGGGGAAAGTCTAAGATTAGACACTTAAAGAAATTCCCCTGGGGATTGTTGTAAAATTGGCATTGTAAAATGATTATAGAAAAAAAATCATATATTTCCTACTGATTCTTCACCTGTGGATATCAAACTTTCAGACTTTTTCAGGATTCTCTTTTTTTTCCCCCAGTGATAGATCCTTTCGCCTCAGCTCTGTCCCTCCCTCTTTGTGCATATGTCATTCATTCCCCTTTCTATCTATATCCTTCACTCGCCTTTCCATAGACTCTTGAATTTGTATGTATCTCTGAGTACCTTTCTTTTTGTGTGTGTCTTGAGAAACGTGTCTGGGCGGGCAAAAAATCAAAATGAAAAATAAGATCTAAAAATAAAAACAATGTTTGGTATGAGAATAGTGGCAGGCAATTTAAAAGCATCCCTGGGAAAGAAAGTGTTTAAAGTGGCCATCCCTCCCGGTTCCAGATCCATAAAGAGCATCTAGGTGTTTGCATAAATAAATAGCACAAACCCTTTCACATGTTAACTCATTTATATATAAACTTCCCCCACATTTGCACTTTGAAGTACACAAAAGGTACCATTGTATATTCATTTCATGTATATTCTCATCCTCAGAACGCATCACCCACTTAATATCTTTCCCTTCAAATAAATGTAGCTTCTTAATACAAAATAACTGTAACTATATTTCTAAAAGGCAGGTAATCCTAACACAGAAGATGATAGGGAGTAATATGGGGGTTGTTCTGTAAGTGAATATCATTTTATTATTGTAAAACAAATTCATAATTAATCATACAAATTAATATAAAACAATACAAAGTAATAAATAATGAGAAATTAATGAAACTCTTTGGAATTAGAAGATAGGGTTTGGGTCACTGGCCATAGAACCTTAGATGAAATACTTCACCTCTCCGAGCCTCAGTTGTTTTTTCTTTAGAAATGAACATAATCAGAACTGTCCTGCTTATCTCACAGGGAGATTAACAAGATCACACATTTGAAAAGCTTTATAAGTTACAAGGCACAGTCTGCGTTTGAGTTGTTAATATAAGGGGACTGGTAAGCTGAAAATGTAAAGACCTATGCAGGGTGTGTGTGTGTGTGTGTGTGTGTGTGTGTGTGTGTGTGTGTGTGTGTCAGCGTTAGTAGGTGAAAGCCCTAAGCTCGTGAAAGTAGACTGCTAGTGGAAAAGGAAGGTAACTGAATAACCCTCTTGATATTTTAAAACAGGAAAAATCTGACTATTGTTCCTTCGTAATTTTTATGCTACTTCGATTAACAGAATTAGATCAGAAGAAGATAAGAGTGGAAGAAAAGGTATGTAATCATATCATTTCCTGTGTTTATGAGTTGATAGGCTCAAAAGCTCATACTGCCTGCTGCAAGACCAATACAATCCATAAATGATTACATAACAGTATGTACATTCATTATTTAGGGGGCGTTTCCTTGTCCTAGGATCTATCTGTTTCACCCTCCGCAGAGCTGAGCGTCAACACAAATGCAGTGAAAGCCCTGCTCTTGGTACAGTGAGGAGACTGGCTGTGGGAAACAGAAGCAGCCCCCGTGTACATAGGTTGGCAGCAGTATAGCCGACTGTTAGTTTGTATGATAGCTATCATATTTGGAGGGTGTGTGATCCTATCTGTGTTACTCGAAAAGTTCACTTAATAATGAAGTGAATTATAATGTAATTCTAACACATCATCAAAAAGGACTCAAATAAATCAATACTCTGATTTTTAAATCCTTTATGCTACTCTTTAAGATAATGATTCTTCTGGACACAAGTTGAGAGTAACCAGACATTGAATGCTAGCACCTGCCAGCCCCTTCCATACCTGTGGAAGCTAATTTGTCATGCTGTCATGACTGGTGTCAGCTGAAATCTCCACTAATGAGGGGTTTCTTACACTGGATGCAAATTTGAGATGGGAATGAAAAAGCAGGTATAAATATGCAATGAGGCAGATATTCCAGTTCATAAATGCCTTTCTGAAATCTTGGTTAAAAAATAGTTACAGATGCAAGTCTGTTATCATTCTCTCACTCAAAGGCACTTATTAGATTTCTCTTTCCCTTTAACGTTGTGCGAAGGGAATAACATTTAAAACCACGCATTAGATAAAGGTATGGTAGACAAGAATAGTGTATTTAGAGGGATGACAAGGCCGGGGAATGGAGAACTGTCCATCGTGGGGAAAAGGCCCATATCTTTGAAAAGAGAAAGTTACACTAAAAGAGGGGGAGGTTTAGTAGAATTTGAGATCATAGGAATAGTTCTTGGCATGATGGCATGAGGAAAAATTCTGCAGTAACAACTACCTGGAATCTAGAGCTATGAATTTTATTTCTTTTCATACTAAAAGTTGAAATGTTCACTATATTAAAGGTCATCTTAGACTTTAGAGGTTTAGATTTTGTTTTTCCTTTTTTCCTTTCAAACCAGGGAGTATAAAGAAATAGGTGACCAAGGGACTCCAGCTCAATACTTTAAAATAATTATTATTCTTTAGGTTTTAGGAAAGTTAGAGTAGACATGAAGACAGGACACAGATTCCTGGTCACATGTCTAGGACATTTCATTAAAGAAACTCTAAGGCTTGTCTTCCTTTTAAAACGAATTTTTTTCTTTTCCCTTTGCATTTCTAATTCTGGAAAAGGTCGCGGCAGTGAACAAATACAACCCTCCCCCAGAAGTGGTCGCAGCCCAAGATCACATGACCCATGTTTTCAACAGCCTGATGCAGCCACAGAGGATCTTTGACAGGTATTTCTTAGGGACCCTTTGGGTAGAACACGGGGTAGCCAGCATAGGACAACCTCATCATTTCCCTAGCCCTCTATTTTGTGACCCATTCCTTTCTCACCTCTCTGAGGGAGGGGATCAGGTCTTTATTTGACAGGCTGTGTAGTCTCAGATATAGTATATTATCATCACATGTTTGAATATGGGGCTCACTTGTTGGCATTTTCCCAAGTGTGGCGATGAGTAGATTCAACTTCCCTCTTTCATCTGGACCCTTGAATAGTGGCTAGCCTGTGACATAGGATGGTGAAATGAAAAAGAAAGAAAGTTTGCCAACTTTTCTGCTGTTGGATAGAACCACAGACCTTAGCCTCATTAACAGAGAATTGTGACGATCTCTATCCATTGTCAATTTCTCCTTAGCTGTGCGTGAATGCTAGATACCCCTGCCAAAGAGCACCCAAGACCGCAGGTTATACGTTAGAGAGTCCCTAGAAGGAGGCCCTCCTCACCTGAGGGAAACCCGAAACAGTCTTTACAGTGATTGCCCTGAGCCCCAGGCAACCTAGCAGGGAGAAGTCACCCAGCTTGGTTGAACACAGGAACAGAATCTCTCACCTCTGAGTTCGAAGACAGATTTACCACGATTTCTCCATATCTTTTTAAACAATCTGTTGGAGCAGATGGCCATTTACGCTATAAGTATAATACAGAAATTCTATCAATGCCCAAAGGCGTTTTAAAATTACTTGTAAAATCTCTTGGTTATAAATGGCTTCTCTTCTTCATGTGGTCTGCTCCTGTACTTCACACAGTTGGTTTCCCACAGAGAGAAGATGTTTTATTTTGCATCCAGGACATGATTTTTTACATGTAATTTAATAATGTAGACGTTGACAGTTTTATATATTTATGGTAGCTCTCTAGGCGAAATGATTTATCATTTATTTGCATACATCTGGAAAAGCACATTTGATTTAAAAGAAGGGCATTTATGTCCTCATTGTATTTCTTTTCTAGTTTATGAGATTGCTAGTTTCATGCTTTAGGGTACATTTATATAAAAATATGTATCAAAGAAATTTACAGCAATGTCTGATAAACACGTATTTCTGGATCATTTCTGGCTGTCAGGCAGAGAAGAGCAAATGGCCAAGCAGCCCCAGATGCTCTGGAATGGAGCAGGGCTCACTCTGAAAAGCTCATGGAGGCAGGAGCAGGGGTGCCATGCCCTTCCCACTCTGGGTCAGGACGCAGCTCCCTGGCAGCCCCAGGAGTCAGGCTCTAGGAGAGGAACCCTGACTCTTGGTCTTGGGACTTTTAGGCTGTGATATTGGGGAATCACTGTCCCCTCTTCTGGCGGGATTGGGGTGAGGAGCCAATATTGAAATGACACGGCAGAGCCTTGACTCTGGCCTGGTAGTCAGTGATAGCTTTCTTACTCTCACCTATGACAAGGTTCTCCGGGCTGATCTTGTACAAGTCCTGTCCAAACTCTGGAATCGGCCATTTCTCCAAGAAGCCCTGGTTTGTTTCAGTGAGAAATGGTATTTCCCAATCATAATGTGGGTGCTAGAGACAAACATGACACTGGGTTGATCATTGTTTCCATGTCTTTTAGTGGACAGAGCTAGGAATATATTTCCTTCCCTCCCTCCCTTCCCTCCCTCCCCTCCCTCCCCTCCCCTCCCCTCCTTCTTTCCTTCCCTACATTCATTGATCCATCTATCTATTCTTTCTTTCTATCTATCCATCCACCTATCTTGCCTATTTGTACCTACCTATTACATCTGTTCAGTCTTTTATATCTATCTAATCTGTATCTAGATAAATCCATCTATAGATAGATGGTAAAACACCTCCTGAACTCATATTGGTACAATTCAATTACAAGACTGTAGCTGAGCTTTTACTTAATCTCATCTCTGTTACATCTGTATCTCCTTTTCTCCCTCACCAAAGACACAGAGGAAGATGGAATTAGAATATCCCATAATTGCTCTTTTTTTAAAGTCCCATATTACACCACAACAGTATCAGAATACCAGTAGTAATAATTACTGAAAACATGAAAAACATATTTTGCCTATGTTCCTCCCATTAACCATTCCCCCATTGTTTTTTATTGTGGTAAAAAAATATATATATATGAAACACATAAAATTTACCATTTTAGCCACTTTAAAGTGTACAGTTCAGTGGCATTAATTATATTCACAATGTTGTGCAACCATCACCACCATCTGTTTCCAAAACTTTTTCATCAGCCCGAGCTGAAGCTCTGTAAACATTAGGCAATAACTCCCCATTTCCTGCTACTCCCAGTCCCTGGTAATTTCCAGTGTACTTTCTGTCTCTGAATTTGCCTACTCTATATATTTTATATATGCATCAATCACTCCATTTTAAAAATAGTGTACTGTATTTATATTGTCAGAACATACATCCATCACACACTATACTTTCTCCTTTGCTGTCATTTAGTCTTACTTTTCTGGGTAACAGCATATTTATTGCTCACTGCCAGCCCTTACAGCTGATGCCACCTCTTGAGTCATTTTGGTTGTATGAAGCTTGCTCTCTAGCAGATTCCTTAGGAAGAGCTGTGGAATCAGGATCTCTTGAAATCTTGCATGTTGATAATATTCTCTGCCCTTTACACTTGAAAGTCATTTTTGCTATATGTAAAGTCCATGGCTCACACTTTTTCCCTTGAGAATATTAGAAGGGTTTCTCCATTTTCTTTTGGTGCAAAACATTGCTGTCAAAAAACTGGTGACAATCTAATTTTCTTCCCCTTATAAATCATGTGTTCTCTTTTTCTAGCTGAATAATCCCCCCAGCTTTTTTTAAGCCCAGTAATTTTACTAGACTATGTCTTGATATTATTGTTACAACATTTATAGCCCAGTTGTTCTAGGCTAATATTCTCAGGTATGTTGTATAGTGTTATTTTATTTTTTTTAATTTCAGAAAGGTTTTCTTGAATGACAGTCTTTAATATTTGTTCCTTAGCTTTGGTTTTCTTCTTCAGGAAGAAGGTCTCCTTTGCCTATCCTCAATATTTGTCACTTTCTTTCAAAATTCTTTCCTTTAATTACTTAAAAAAATTATTTCGAGGTAATTTTAGATTCACAGGCAGTTGTAAGAAATAATACAGAGAAATTCTAGATGTCTTTCACCCAGTTTCCTCCAGTGGTAATATCTTGCTTAGCTAAAGTAGAATATCAAAACCAGGAAGCTGACATTGATACAAGCCACCAGCCTTATCAAGTTTCACCAGTTTTGCATGTACTCCTGTGTACATTTAGTTCTATGCGATTTTATCACATGTGTAGATTCATATGAGCATGACTCCAGTCAAGATACAGGAGTTTTATCACATGGATCCCTTTGCTTCCCTTTTATAGCTACAGCCACCTCCCTCCTGCTTATCTTCCCTAACGTTTGGCAACCAATAATCTGTTCCCCTTCTCTGTAATGCTATCATTTCAAGAAGGCTATATAAATGGAATCATAGAGTATATGTATAACCTTTTGGGGTTGACTTTTTTTTTTTAAACTTAGCCTCTGTTGAATATATCAATGGTTCATTCCTTTGTATTGCTGAGTAGTATTCCTTGGTATGAATGCACCACAATTAGTTTAACCAACCATCGAAGGACATCTGGGCTGATTGCAGTTTTTGGCTACTACAAATACAGCTTTTATGAGCATTCACGTGTAGGCTTTTGGACATCGCAATTTCAACCTGCCTGCTTTCTGCTGGATACCCGTTGTTTTGGGGTTCCCTTGTTCTCAGACGCTGCACGTTGCTTCCTCCTTCTTCCACCAGCTTCCAGTGCCATAGAAGTCTTGCGGGTTTGTGGCTTTTCATCTGGTTTGTTATCCACATTTTCCATGGGCTTTTGTTCTCAAGTTTTTCTGTTTTCCTGTGAGTATTCAGAGAGATTGAAAAATTATGCTGCACTGCCCCCATTCTTCACAGAGTCTGTACCTCAACCATGCTTTTCTTCAGAATATTTTATTCCATATTTCTAGAATTTGTGTCTTGAGTGGAACCCAAACACTTCAGCTTTGCATGTTGCAAGAGATTTTATATAAATTAGTCCTTTGGTCTTTTAGACCGGAAGCCATGCCGAGATTCATATATCAGCTCTTACTTATTAGTTGTTAATTTGAGCAAGTTAATTAACCTCTCTGTACTTCAGTTTCTTTATGTGTTAAGTGTTATCACAGCTTCCTGTGATAATTAAATGAGGTAATGCATGTAAGACACCTAGAATAGCACCTGGCATGTAGTAACTGCTCAGGTAAATTTCAGTGATTACTGTTTTCTTTGCACATGAGTATTCTTTTTTTTTATTGGAGTATAATTGCTTTACAATGTTGTATTAGTTTCACATCTGTGTTCTAATTGGTTAGATACGGATGTTAAAGTTTACCTCTCAGAGGGCAGTCTTATTTCTTTCATTTTGAAGTTCTTGGGGGGAATACTTTATCAACCAAGAATTAATATCTCTTACCATGTTTTTCCTTTAAAAAATCTTGTTAAGGTAAATTTTTTTGCTATTTTGCAGTCGACTTGCTTCTGGAAAGTAGGACCATCCTTCCACAGAGTGTCTACATATAGTAAATGCTCGATTACTGGATTAATTGTGATTGTGACATGGACACTTTACACACTGGATGCATAAATATGCATGTCTGCTCTGCCCTGTTGCAGCACCCTTCCTAGTCTGGATGCCCCTTATCCCATGTTGGTATTAGCTGGTCCTCAAGCATGTGGTAAACGAGAACTCGCTCACCGCCTCTGCAGACAGTTCAGCACTTATTTCAGATACGGGTAAGTTTCTTTATTGGCTGGTAAGGCTGTAAAATGTCGGATATTGCTAATGTTGGCTATTAAAATGTACATAGAAGGCTTATGAGCTTCTTTGCCACTTATTACACTGTGATATTCACTGTATTTTTTTTTTTACTTTAATCCTCCAAATGTTTTACTTAATTCAGTGACAGCCGAAATCACGCCCCAAAGTTTGGAAATACACGTGGTTGTAATAAAGCATCATGGTGTTGGAACACGGGCTCCTCCTGTTGCCATGTGGTGCGACAGCATGAATCACAATGTTGTGATGGATGGTGGCTGGGTCTGTGCACCGGTGACAGCCTCTCCTAATCTGTGTTGGAGCCCACGCTGCCAGCACGTCAGCTGCTTTATTTCCACGCGGGTCTTTCTCTTTTGAGGGATATTTCAGAAGGAAGGAAAGAGAAATGGCAGCAAAAGATTTCCTTTTCCTTTCCCTCAGGTGAGCATTCAATACACTTTCAGTTTTCTGGAGCAGATATTTTGCTGTGTGGTTCCCTAATGACTCAGTTAAAATAGCAGAATATGTCCAAAAGCCTAGAACCATCCTAGAAAATCTTCAGCTGGATTTACAGACTTTTTAAAGGTGTCTGGGTCTCAGATTTCGTTATTGCTGTGACCTTTTAAACTGGTTTCCTCTTTTATTTTTTTATGTATGGCAAAGACATTACTGTTGGATTAGTGATGTTTGTCAGTGAGCTGAGAATGTGACTGCAAAGATATATAGGACAGCAAGAAAAAGAAATGCAAATTATTTTCTAATGCTGTTGCATACAGGTTCCTTCCCTTAAGCTACACATGTTCAAACAATGTAAATACTATTTTAAACAGGTCTAGTTATCTAGAGATCTAAAATTACATTCCTCATTTGAACAAATCCAGAATACAAATACTGTAGAATAATTTACTCATTAATATATTCTAAACACCCTGAAGCAACCAAAATAAATTAAAACTTAATATCAGAATTAAAAAGTACAGAGTGTCATTATGCTTATACAGCGGTACTGAACCTGTTTCAAAAGATAAGTGGAGCACAATGAATGGACGATCAAATTAGGGCAAAAAGGTGTATCCTGACTATCGTGCTAATGTGTAAACCTGGAACCTTTCAGCAAACCAAAGCTTTGCTGAAGACTTTGGTTACATAAAGACTTACATAAACCAAAGCTTTCCCTGGTTAGAAGTCCTTTCATATCTCTGACACCAATTCTGTTGCAAATGGTTCATAGCCTATCCTTCATATTTGTTTGTGATATGCACTCTGAGGCACGCTGGGCCAGATGTGTTCTTAGAGGTGTTTATTAACTCATCGTCAGGATTCTGATCCAGTCGGCCTCAACATTCTCACCTCGATAGGCCCCCTCAATGTTCATTTTCATTAAATCCTGCTTTTCCCCTATTAGAATGTCTATCCGTCAAGCTTGGGATGATGTATTTAATGCCTGTTTCCCATGCTCGACTGTAAGCCCAATGAGGGTGGGGACCAATGTCAGCTTTGTTCACCACTGAGTTCTCATTGTTCAGCAGAAGGCCAGGAACTTAATAAATGCATGAGAAATATTTGCTAAATGAAAGACTAAGTGATTGAGTGAATGGATGGATGAATGAATTAATGGTATTATATGCAAAATTTAGTGGGAAATAACTGTGGTAAGAAGCATAGGTGGTTTTTCCCAGCCTCCACTGATGGATACATGGAGAGATGAAGGGATTCATTCATTTGTTCATCCATTCTTTCAATAAATATTTATTGAGTTCTTCTCATGTGATAGTTCCTGAAGATACAGTGGGAACAAGATCGGTGAGGCCCTTGCCTTAATGAAACTTATAACCTGGTAGGGGACTCAGACCTTAGTTAGCATCATATGCAGTTTGTATGGAGGCACAAGATGACAAAACATAATCCTAAATTAGCTTCCTGCTCCTATACTGTTACTGTTGCCACTGCTGTTTTTCTCCTCTGGATGGGATTAGTAGCAAGAGGAAAGACACCCATAAATACCCCACACTCATGCATCCACCTCCCTCACAGGCTCAGAAGCCTTGCCTAAACATGCATGGGCACCCTCATGGGGGCAGAGGTCAGGGCTCGTTCAATAGCACATCATTCACCAAAGCAAGGATCAGAGAGCATATCACTGGATAAGAAAAGGTATTAGGGAGCTAGTAATTTCAAGCATTGAGAAAGTCAGATAGCACTACTATTACATGCAGCAACTTTCTAATTAAAACAAATGATAAAACCAAAGCACATCCTTGGGGCAAGTCATTGCTCTTGTTTATTTTATTTATTTATTTTTTGAATTTAATTTTATTTAATTATTTTTATACAGCAGGTTCTTATTAGTCATCCATTTTATACACATCAGTGTATACATGAAAATCCCAATGTCCCAATTCATCACACCACCACCACCCCATCCCCCTGCCGCTTTCCCCCCTTAGTGTCTGTACACTTGTTCTCTACATCTGTGTCTCAATTTCTGTCCTGCAAACCGGTTCATCTGTACCATTTTTCTAGGTTCCACATATATGCATTAATATACGATATTTGTTTTTCTCTTTCTGATTTACTTCACTCTGTATGACAGTCTCTAGATCCATCCACATCTCTACAAATGACCCAATTTCGTTCCTTTTTATGGCTGAGTAATATTCCATTGTATATATGTACCACATCTTCTTTATCCATTCATCTGTCGATGGGCATTTAGGTAGCTTCCATGACCTGGCTATTGTAAATAGTGCTGCAATGAACATTTTGCTACATGAATTTTTTTGAATTATGGTTTTTCTCAGGGTAAATGCCCAGTAGTCGGATTGGTGGATCATATGGTAATTCTATTTTTAGTTCTTTAAGGAACCTGCATACTGTTCTCCATAGTGGCTGTGTCAATTTACATTCCCATCAACAGTGCAACAGTTCCCTTTTCTCCACACCCTCTCCAGCATTTGTTGTTTGTAGATTTTCTGATGATGCCCATTCTAACTGGTGTGAGGTGGCACCTCATTGTAGTTTTGATTTGCATTTCTCTAACAATTAGTGATGTTGAGCAGCTTTTCATGTGCTTCTTGGCCATCTGTATGTCTTCTTTGGAGAAATGTCTAGGTCTTCTGCCCGTTTTTGGAATGGGTTGTTTGTTTCTTTAATATTGAGGTGCATGAGCTGTTTATATATTTTGGAGATTAATCCTTTGTCCATTGATTCATTTGCAAATATTTTCTCCCATTCTGAGGGTTGCCTTTTCGTCTTGTTTATGGTTTCCTTTGCTGTGCAAAAGCTTTTAAGTTTCATTAGGTCCCATTTGTTTATTTTTCTTTTTATTTCCATTACTTTAGGAGGTGGATCAAAAACGATCTTGCTGTGATTTATGTCAAAGAGTGTTCTTCCTATGTTGTCCTCTAAGAGTTTTATAGTGTCCATCTTACATTTAGGTCTCTAATCCATTTTGAGTTTATTTTTGTGTATGGTGTTAGGGAGTGTTCTAATTTCATTCTTTTACATGTAGCTGTCCAGTTTTCCCAGCACCACTTATTGAAGAGTCTGTCTTTTCTCCATTGTATATCCTTGCCTCCTTTGTCATAGATTAGTTGACCATAGGTGCGTGGGTTTATTTCTGGGCTTTCTGTCTTGTTCCATTGCTCTATGTTTCTGTTTTTGTGCCATAACCATATTGTCTTGATTACTGTAGCTCTGTAGTAGAGTCTGAAGTCAGGGAGTCTGATTCCTCCAGCTCTGTTTTTTCCCCTGAGGACTACTTTGACTATTCAGGGTCTTTTGTGTCTCCATACAAATTTTAAGATTTTTATTCTAGTTCTGTAAAAAATGCCATTGGTAATTTGATAAGGATTGCATTGAATCTGTAGATTGCTTTGGGCAGTACAGTCATTTCACAATATTGATTCTTCCAATCCAAGAACATGGTGTATCTCTCCATCTGTTTGTATCATCTTTAACTTCTTTCATCAGTGTCTTATAGTTTCCTGTATACAGATCTTTTGTATCCCTAGGTAGGTTTATTCCTAGGTATTTTATTCTTTTTGTTACAGTGGTAAATGGGAGTGTTTCCTTAATTTCTCTTTCAGGTTTTTCATCATTGGTGTATAGGAATGCAAGAGATTTCTGTGCATTAATTTTGTATCCTGCAACTTTACCAAATTCATTGATTAGCTCAAGTAGTTTTCTGTTGGCATCTTTAGGATTCTCTATGTATAGTATCATGTCATCTGCAAACAGTGACGGTTTTACTTCTTCTTTTCCAATTTGTGTTCCTTTTATTTCTTTTTCTTCTCTGGTGGCCATTGCTAGGACCTCCAAAACTATGTTGAATAATAGTAGTGAGGGTGGACATCCTTCTCTTGTTCCTGATCTTAGAGGAAATGCTTTCAGTTTTTCACCATTGAGAATGATGTTTGCTGTGGGTTTGTCATATATGGCCTTTATTATGTTGAGGTAAGTTCCCTCTATGCCCACTTTCTTGAGAGTTTTTATCATAAATAGGTGTTGAATTTTGTCAAAAGCTTTTTCTACATCTGTCAAGATGATCATATGGTTTTTATTCTTCAGTTTGTTAATATGGTGTATCACATTGATTGATTTGCATATATTGAAGAATCCTTGCATCCCTGGGATAAATCCCACTTGATCATGGTGTATGATCCTTTTAATGTGTTGTTGGATTCTGTTTGCTAGTATTTTGTTGAGGATTTTTGCATCTATATTCATCAGTGATATTGGTCTGTAATTTTCTTTTTTTGTAGTATCTTTGTCTGGTTTTGGTATCACGGTGATGGCGGACTCATAGAATGTGTTTGGGAGTGTTCCTTCCTCCGCAATTTTTTGGAAGAGTTTGAGAAGGATGGGTGTTAACTCTTCTGTAAATGTTTGATAAAATTCACCTGTGAAGCCATCAGGTCTTGGACTTTTGTTTGTTGGAAGATTGTTAATCACAGTTTGAATTTCATTACTTGTGATT